CAAAAAACTCGTGAAGTTGTAGACTTGGTGTATTTCTATTCTGTGGCAGTTTGTGATTGACAGAAATATCATTACTTGAGTGCCTTCAAATTATATAAATACTATTTGAATATGCCGTATCTTCTTCATAACACCAATCTCTTTAAGATTGTTAGAAAAATAAGAAAAGCACAATAAAAGAGGAATGACTTTGAAACATGAAAAAATCAACTTTTCATAAAGAAATATTGTATGTATACAAATTGAAGAAAATACAAGTAATTCCCTTCAAAATACAGTAACATCCATCTTTATACCTTCAATTTTTTTATGCTAAACTTCAAAGATGACTTTTAGAGGCCATATTCTTTCACGAACAAATGTATTTGTTCAGTTTAAGATCTCTATATATATTACAAATTATCTAAAAAGTTATTTATCCTGTCACATGATGCGTGGAGCTTTCACCATCTGTATTAGTGACGTAACATACATTAAATTTTTTGATACAAATTCAAATTATTTAGAACTAAAAATATGTTCTTTGAAACAACAAAAGAAGTAATGCTAGTAGTCTAATTTGGACTCAAAATATCTTCTAGGTTTGGCGTTATGATTTAGGGTTAAATCATTTAATCCATCCCTAACGCCGTTGTCTGTATTCAAAACGAAAAACTCCTATTTATGCTTATATATTTATATAAATGCCATCGCACTAGGTATAACCAGTTTGCTGCTCTCCTCACTAGTTAGAGTTCACCAATTCAATTGTACTATCGGGCGATCCTTGATAAACTCTATAATTTTTTGATAAAGGTTTGAACATTCATTTTGAACAGTGAATAATCACACCAACACCAAGTAGGTAATCTCCAATATTATAATAGAAGACATTCAAAATTAGGACAATTTTTTTTAAAGTTTAATTATTTAATAATCTAATTCATTTGAACTTGAAATTTTTAATAAAACATACTTCAAAGAATTAAAGACAATTTTACCAAATCAATTTAATTATTTACAATTTTTAATTATAATTACACAAATAATTAAATTTTAAAAATATGTCCATAATAGTATGAGATTAGACCTATAAATACATAATTTTTTTTTTATATTCATTCTACTTAGGTTTTCCAAGTGTGCTGGTGCTTCTCACAAGTAAAATAACATTTTACACCGCCATCATCAGATCTGGTTCTCTTTTATGTATGTATTTCCTTCATTTTCTTTTGGTTCTTCGTTTAATCTTTGCCTCTTGCTAGAATTTACTTCTATGTTTGTACAGGTATGTTTTTGTATTCAAGTGAACTGATTTAGGGTTTATTTTAGGTTCTTCGTTTAATCTTGCCTCTTGGTCGATTTTGTTTCTTTTTTGTACAGGTATGTTTTCGTATTAGAGTGAACTGAATTTAGGGTTTCTTTTGGTTCTTCGTTTAATCTTGCCTCTTGGTCGATTTTGTTTCTTTTTTGTACAGGTATGTTTTCGTATTAGAGTGAACTGAATTTAGGGTTTCTTTTGGTTCTTCGTTTAATCTTGCCTCTTGGTCGATTATTTTTTTATTTTGTTGTACAGGTATGTTTTCGTATTAGAGTGAACTGAATTTAGGGTTTTTTTTTTGGGTTATTTGGAGGTCCTTATTTTTTGACTTAGGGTTGAGCCGCCCTTGGGTTTATGATAACTTCTGTCTGAACTCTACTAATCTTGATGTGCTCGAATTCCGCCCCTCCTCCCACTTCCAGTGAATGATTCAATGTTTATTTGTTAACTTTTGTGTTTCTGTCACTGTGCACAATTTTTTTCCCAATTCAAAACTGATGTTGAGGATTGTAATTTCTTACAGGATAAATTGAGAGTAAATAAGTGTGTAGTTCAAAGGATTAACTAGCTCAAAGTTTGTGTTAGTTTGAGTGGGGAAAAAGAATCCTTTTCAAGTTTTGAAATTGATTAGCTTATGATGGTGGTGGCTATTTGTGCTCGAATTCAATCTTTATTTGTTAACTTTTGTGTTTACGTCACTGTTGCTATTAATCCCAATTTTAAACTGGTGTTGAGGAGTGTAAATTATTGTAGGATAGATTGAGAATAAATTTGGTTGAATTGATAAATGAGTGCGGTGTAGTTGTATAGTTCAAAGAATTAACAAGGTCAAGGTTTACTGAATAGTTTGGAATTTGCATTACTGGAATTTCCTTCGCGCTTGCTTGTTTGTGTATACGTACCCTTTTCTATTACTGGAAATGTTAACCAAAAACCTTTATTGTTTTAATAATCACATCCTCGCAAGACCTAGTTCTGCTTTACTTTCTTTCTTGTTTTAAAAATCATTCTGAACGTGTATTCAGCATATACAAAGTGTTAGGGCATGGCACATAAGTGGGTGCATTTGTGGCTTTTTAAGTTTTGACATTTTCCTTAATTGTTGTCTTTGTTATCTGAATGTGTATTTCATTTATTGTCGTGTTTCTAATTGTAGTTATTTTGATGAGCTTTGCAGTTTGCACATCAAGAGCAGCTTTCATCTACCGGAAGCATAATTGCATTGATGTGTTGTGGAAACTGACTTCGTACTCCTGAGTTGATATGGGTTTTGATATTGAATGCATAATCGACATCCATACCTATCCTGGAGAGTATTTCTGTCCTGTTTGTCGCACACTCGTATTTCCTAATGAAGCCGTCCAATCACAGTGCACTCATCTCTACTGCAAACCTTGTCTGGCACATGTTGCCAATGGGAGCCGAGCCTGTCCTTATGATGGATACTTGGTGACTGAAGCAGACTCTAAAGTGAGCTCCCTGTAGTACATTGTCCTTTAGATAACTGCTGATGCTTTTGCTACTCGTGATATTTTGAATGTGTTGCATTTACTTTTCCTCACAGGCCCTTATCGAGTCGGACAAGACACTTGCTGAAAGCATAGGCAGAGTTAAAGTGCGTTGTCTCTATCACAGAAGTGGATGCACATGGGAAGGTTCCTTCTCTGATTGCACTTCCCATTGTTCTGGCTGTTCCTTCGGCAATTCCCCAGTTGTATGCAATAGATGTGGAGTCCAGATTGTGCATCGACAAGTGCATGAGCATGCCCTGAGTTGTCCTGTGAGTACTTTTCATACATATGTAATACTCATCTTTCTTGTAGTGGATGGTTTCTTAGTATATGTTCTATCCCCAGGGTGTATATCCTGCACAGCAGACAACTAATGGTTCCCAAGATAATCCTAGCTCTGGTGCAGCTACCACTGCTGCTGGTACCGACTCGAATCGAACTACGGCTCATTCAGGAACTCCAGCATCACAGACACCAAACCCTCAAACCACAACTGCTTCTCTGCTTCCTGGACAAGATCCCAATCAGCAAACAAATGCCAGCTCTCAGGCTCTTGCTACTGCTTCAGCTGGTGTGCCTACTTCAGAGCAGTGGTATCAGCAATATTATCAGCAATATGCTGGATATGAGCCTTATCAACAGCAAACTTATCAACAATACTATCCTTATCAGCAACAACCCCTCCAACAATATCAGCAACAACCTCACATTTACATGCAGCCACCAGCACAACCCCAGACCCCGGTCCCAGCCC